ACTGGACTGGGGGACATAAAGTGATACTTGTGGAGAATGTGCCTCTTAGACAAGTAATATAAGAGACCAAAGTGGCGGCTTCTGTCCAGAGGTGAGAGGGGAAGGCAGAGAGAGTTAGGAGCTGGTTGAACGTTCATGGGGAATCAGGGGCGGAGGGGAGGAGTGTGCTGTCACAGAATGGGGTGAGCGGTTGGGATCTCATAACAATGTATGTTAAAAAATTAAAAAAATAAAAAGTTTCTTCTTTGAAAAGATCAATAAAATAGATAAACTTCTAGCCAGAGTGACCAAGCAAAAATAGACAAGACACAAATTACTAATATAGGGAATATGAAAGAGGACATTATGACAGACCCCCCACAGACATTAAAAGGATAATAAGGGAATAACAGCTTTATACTCATAAATTACATAACTTAGATGAAATGGAACCAAGTCCCTGAAAAAAATGATGCAGATGGTATTTCTGAGTGTCCACCTCTTTCCCCTGGGATCTTGTCCTTAATGTAAGGAGCCCTCAAGTGCTGGGAATGAGAGAGCTATGCCAGGATTAGAACCCGCTAACCTCTGTAATGATTATAATAATTACAGTGGTAGTAGCAGCAGCAGCAGCTAACATTCACTACGGCACACTGATCTAAGTGCTGCATGTGTATGAATTCATTGAGGTAGTACTATTATTTCCATTTTACAGATGAGGAAATGGAGGCTCAGAAACTTTAAGCACCTTGTTGATCACCCGGCAAGATGCACAACCAAGTCTAGGGTTTATCTGGCACTGGCCCAGTTTTACAACTGGAACCCCACAGTCCTGGGTTGGCCACCCTACCCCAAGTCTCTTGCGCCCCAGAACATTTTCCACAACATCATGAATGACTGAATGAATCCTCTGATTTTTAAATGAAATCCAAATCAATATTAAAACACTTTTTTCAATGTTTTTGTCTTTCTCACCTGCACAGAAGGCAGAGCCGTCGTAAATGTTCGAAGTCTCCCTAAAAGGGCTGTCTGTGCCACTCACATCATGGTGGTCTCGGCTCAGGACCACCGGTGCCTACAGCATGGGAAGAACGTGAGATGTCAGCCAATGGCGTCCAGTTGCCCCGTGGAGGGCAGAGGTCAGGCAACAGGCCAATCAGAGGCCCTTCAGGTCCCTCCCCCTGAAAATAGACCCTCGTCAGCAAGATGCCAGAGTGCCGCCATCAGTGTGAGAAGGGTCCATATGGGTATACGCTTCTATATGCACCCAAGAAAAGGGGGGTTGCCAATGTCTGTGGGACAGGCGGAAAGGAAGTTGGCTTTTTCCTGAATTCTCTTTTGCACTTGGAGTTCTTTTTTTTTAATCACACGAGGTCTTATCTGTTTAAAAACATTAGATTTAAAGTAAGAAGATGGCTTCTAACACCAGGGGCGTGAATACCGCAGGCCCATCACTTAGAAATCACAGATGGCCTGTCCCCAACAAGGCATGCTTTCCCAGAACCTGCTGACTAATGGGCAGGACTTCGGGGTTTTTTTTTGTTTGCTTGTTTTTAAAAAGAAATGAGGAAATACCAGATAAAACAGGCCTCTCCCAGGCTGGACCAGGATTATTCTTTTGTAAGTTACCAGAATCTTCCAGACTAGAGCCCTACACAGAAACCTTTACTGTGCCATCCTATAACTAACAATAGATTCAATTGATTTTGCAGCTCTCTACATGCCTGGCATCACCCATGTGCTTTACACGTGTTAGCTCATTCAATTTTCACAACAATCCTGTCCAGGTAGGTACTACTGTCACGGCCCCCATTTTACACATGAGAAAACTGAGGCACAAAGAGGATAGGGAACTTATCCAAAGTTACAGAGCAGGCGAGTGGAGGAGCTGGGATTTAAACCCACATGCGTGGGCTCTGCCGTTGTGCTACACACCGCAGGCAGCCTGGCTCCTGAGCCTGCACTATGTAAAAGGGGCCAGCAGGCCACCCCAGGAAGAGCGACCTGCTGTTGGTAGGCATGGCTGGCACTACATCCCTACACGACCTTGGGTGTGACCTTGGGTTACATGGTATAAGCACTCGCGTTTACTTTGGAATACATGTGTTGACAGCATTCCTTGTTTCCCAGAGGACCCCAGGCAGCTTGGGGACCTGTGAGATGTGACAGGCAGTTTTGCCACTTCCCGCCCATGTGGTGGGACACCATGTGGGAAAGTGCAGTGAGTGAGATCTAAGGACAGGCAAACTCAGCCCCCTGTACTGGCCCATGTACTGCTTTTTTAAAAGAAGTTTACAGATCACTGTGCACAGGGAGGTTCCATCATAAAAATAAGTTCTACCTGGAATAATTTAAAGGCACAAGTGAAGGAATGGGGCACAGGGGAGCCTAAGCTAGAAGGATGGGGGAAAGGAGAGTGTGGGCCGAGAGGTTGTACCACCTTGGGAAAGGGAGAGCTCTGGTCTGGCTCTCTACCCCTCAGACAACAGGAGAGAGAAGCAGGTCAGGATGTGGTCCCCAGAGCCTACGCAGAGAGCTGAGCTTCACCACACAGCTATCCCCAGCAAAAGCCCTGGGGGTCTTTCTTCTCTACCACTGGGCCATGGGGTCATCTTTCCAGCCCCCCACAGGTGGTCACGGAGTCTCACAGGCTGCCTCTTACCCCTCCCCAGAAGGACTATGAGGATGTACCCTGCCGAAAGGCTGAAAACCCCCAGTGTTCTGAATTCAGAGGCCCTGCGGACCCTCCCCCTCAGCACCTACTACCCTGTCCTAGCTGGCTGCCTCCCTCGGGGACCCCCTCTCTCTCCTTGGACAGGTCAAGCTTGTCCAACCCCCCCTCCTCACCTTTGCGCTTGCAGGTCCCTCTTCCTGGAATGGCCCTTCCCAGATATCCTGGCACGTTTTTACGGTTCAGGACTCAGCCCTACATCAGCCCTGACCACCCACTAAAGTCTCAACTCCCTCATCTCTCCCCACCTCATCACCTGACTCAGTGTCCTCACCATCTGAAATCATCTTGTCATTTGCACATCTGTTGTGCCTCATCAGTCTCCCTTCATCACACTATAGGTGCCATGATGGCAGGGCTGTGTCCCTGTGCCCAGAACAAGGCCTGGTGCAGAGAGGAAAAGGCGCTAGGCCAAGCGTTGCTGAATGAGGGGATGATTAAAATGGCAGTCTCCTTGCTGACAGACTAACCCCAGCCTGGATGTGAGTGAGCCTGGGGGGTGGCGGGGGTGCTCCCCAAGAAGGGCGGGGCCACGTCTCTGCTGCCAAGGCCCCCAGGCTCCCACGAGCAGCCTTCACCTGCACGTGTCGCGATTTCTATTTCATGGCTGACCGTTAACACTCCTGGCTCTTCCAAGCAGAGAGGCACGGACAGAACAGAAGCATGAGCCCATGTAAGAGACGAGCGAGGCCTCCACCGTGTGCTGGGTTCTACACCCTGGAGGGTGTCAGGCAGACCCAAAGGAAGATGGGGAAAGCCAGTGACATTTGCCATGATTTATAAAAGGTAATTTTAAAAAGATGTATTGAAAGCTGGCTCACTTAATCCTCACAACCGCGCTTTGAGGTTCACATTTTTCCTTTCACAGGAGAGGAAGACTGAGGCTCAGAGGGGAACCCGACTTGCCCAAGTGCATTTGAGGTCAGGCCCACTCCCAGCCCTAGTCACCCACCCACACATGGACACACACTCAGAGTCTGGAGCCCCCAGGAGGACCCCCGCCCCTTCACTGTCTCCTTCCCACCCCGTCACAGGTCACCTCACACCCTTCCCACCCCGAGTAGAGCCTGGTCCGAGATGGCTCATCTCTGAGTCCCTCTCAGGGCTGGTCCACAGGGACCAAAGCTGTAAGTGAAACCCGAATCCCTAAAATGGTGGCAGTTTAGTGCTCACCACTACTTCTGAGGTGTGAGGGGGGTGGGGACACAGGCAGGAGCCCCATGTCCTGAGTCAGGACAGGCTGTGCCGATGGGAAAGGCTGAGGGAAGCCTCCAGGGCAGCACAGGACACCTCACCTTGATCTTCCCTTGGGCAATCGCATGGTTGATGGCCACAGCAATGGCTACACGGCCCTTCTGGTCAGAGTACAGGATCCTCGCCTGCGAGCCCACCACCTGTCGAGAGAGGCCGATGTGCCAGGACATGGTACATGGGGAGACGCAGGCAGCACCCAGGCCAGGCCCAGTGCTCCGCCAGCAGCCAGATGGCCCTGAGGAAGGTCCTGGAGGATGCTGCAGAGGCACTGCAGCTCTAAGACCTGCAGACCTGAGATAAGCCCTGCTACCCAGCTCACCAGACAGCCTCATCAGCCCCTCCAAGTGTCCACATGCAGTCTGGGTCCCCCAAGAACCCCAAAATCTGTCATCTAAGGGTGCACCCTGAAGGGGCCTCTAAGACCCTGGCTCCGCCTGGCTGTGGGGATGTTCCGTATAACGAGCATTGCCCTGAGTCCTTCCCGTGATAATAATATCATCAGTATCCGGCGCTACTCTGGGTGGTGCTTAGCACAGCTTCCAGTGCCTTACAGGCCGCCCCTTGTCCGTGAGTGCTAGAGGGAGACAGTGTTACTATCATCACAAGCTCCGCTTCGCAGAGGCTGAGCAGGCCTCCTCGTAGTCACCCAGGGGCCGGTGGCACAGCTGGGACTCGGCCCCATGTGGTGTCTGTCCTCAGCGCTCCGCTCTCAACCACCATGCTATAGCACCTCTAGGGGGTGACAGGTGGTGGTTGTTCCCAGGAAGTGCAGGCTTCAGGAAAAGAAAATGGGTCACTGTTTAGCCGTGTGGTTCTCAACCATAGATATTTGGCAATGGCTGAAGACATTTTTGGGTGCTGCTGTCATGGGTGGAGGCTGGGGTGCTGCTCAACACCCTACAACGGCTCCATGACAAAGAATGATTTGGCCCCAGATGTCAGCAGTACTGCGGATGAGGAGTCCTGGATTCCCCAAACAGGATGCAGGGTGTCTACTCCTGCTGAATGAAGCACTACCAGGCTGGCCTGGCCTGCCCCAGAGCCCCATCACCTTCCGAAGGGCTCTGGGCAAGATGTCGCTTCGGCTCTTCTTAGTGGCCACCATGGAGGGGGCCATCGTGAACAGTCACTCAGGGTCCAGTGTCCAACCCTCTCAGGGCTCGGGATCACGTCTGCCAGCTCAGGCCCTGGCAAGCTCATCTGAGAGTCAGACGCAGGCAGCAGTGACCAGGCAGCCGTGACCTCCTTCAGGCCCCCGACGCCCACCCCAGCTACCCATCAGGCCCCAAGCCCCTCACCAGTTGGTGCTGGGCAGCCTCACGGATCCAGCGGATGTTGTCCATATACTGCAGCTTTATAGACGAGTTCACTGTAAGCAGAGAAGGGGGAGGACTATCAGGGCTCCTAGAGGCCCTGCTCCCACCTCCTCTCCCTGCACCAGAGGCACAGACCCTTCCTCACATAGGCTGAGTCCAGGACAGGGGTCAGGGAATCCCCATGCCCAGCACCACATCAGGCCACCCCCACTGTCCTTCCCTAACTTCACCAGTGCAGAAGGAGGGGGCTTGCAGGGGGACTTGAGGAGGGTGCTGAGCCTCACCCCTCAGGGCTGTAAGGCAAGCAGGGGACTCCTGGGAGACCCCCTCTGAAGAGATGGGACTCATGGTCCTTGGTGATGGCCCCAGGCTGGCTGGGGCCTCTGCTCCTGGGGTGTGCCTTGAGGAATCACCAGCAGAGCCCGAGGGGCTGGGCAGTTATGGGGTGGGGGGCAGGGTGGGAGGCGATAGCAGCTCTGCAGCCGGCCAGCTGCAGGCTCAGAAAGCAGAGAGAAGACACCAGGGCAGAGGCAGCATGGCAGTGGCCCACACTGTGAGACCGAAAAGTCACTGAGCACTGCAGTAGGGGACTGGGCCATTCACATGCTTGGCTGCAGGGTGGGGCAGCCTCCTGAATCAGGGTTTGGGCACACTCCGTTCCAGCCCCACAGTAGAGATTCTGTGGGCGTAGGCCTGGGTGGTTGCAGGGGTCTATCTGTGGATCAGATCCCTGCCTGGGGCTCTGCACAGTCCTCCCAACTCTGGGAACCAGCAAGGTCAGTGATCATAGGAAATAGTGCACAGACCTGTGTAGCCCAGTGCCTGATACATTCATTCCCTCAGCAAACACTTACGAAGCACTGACTGTACACAGACACCGTGCTAGGCACTGGGAAGCAAAGAGGGCTACGTGCTATGAGGACAATAAGAGTAGGGTGAGATAGTGACTAGGAGGGAGGCTCAGGGGACCAAGGAGGCCTCTCTGAGAGGGTGACACTCAAGCTGAGTTCTAAAGGCCAAGGAGGAACCAGCTACATGAATGCCAGCAGGAACAGGGTTCTAGGCAGAAAGAGCAAGTACAAAGGCCCTGAGGTGGGAACAACTTGGCCCATCCCAGTAATAGTCAGAGACCAGTTGGGCTGAGTACACAGGGCATGTGGAGGAGGTGGCCACCACGGTGAGCCAGAGCAGAGTGTGCTCATAAGAGCAGACTGCTAAATCTTCAGGAATTTTATGTGCTGGTTATTAAACACAGACACCATTAAACATTTAATTAAATGAACTTACAGCTAAATAAACTATATTAAAAGCGGAGGCAATACTTGCAGCTCCTCACCTCCTAACTGACTACACTGTGCTGTGTGTATGCTCTCATAGCTGGTTCTGTCTATGTGTGCATAGTGGAGACCCGTGTGATGGTGGCCACACATGTCCCCTCCAGCTCCACAACCAGTGACATCACAGCAACACCACACACATCAGCAAGCACAACAAACCAGGGCTTCTCTCTGACGGCTGGCTGTAAAACACCCACCAGCACCCACTGGAGGCAGGAGCAGGGTGAGCAGGGCAGGGCTCACCCCCTGGAGGGGTGTGGAGCTATTCCCGAGCCAGAGGAGGCCTCGGAAGGCATCTGACAAGGTTCACCCAGAGAAGACCCTTGACCTCTCCTGTCCCTCCACCCTCGGCCTTGCTCCAGCCTGTGTCCTCCCACATAGGTGGTCATTCAACCCCCAGCCTGGTTCCCCAGCCTGGTTCCCTGCCCTAGGTCCCTGCGCCTGGGACCAGCCCACCTACACAGGATGCCAGCAGCAGGGTTAAAATGGCCCCTGGGAATTTAGAGCAACCAGCAAAGGCCCAACAACCCACACAGAGATGCAGAAGATACAGAAGAGGCCAGCCTGGACTTGCCAGAAACCTTCAGAGCAACTTCAGGAAAAGAGCTGGACAGATGAGGAAGTTTCATAAACTAACTGCCTCCTCTTCCCCAGGTAATAAACTACACCAAATTCATTAAACAAGAACAGACTGGGGATGAGAAAAGGGGATGGGCATGTAGACATGGGGAGACCACAATCACCCACGGAAAAAGGCAAGACCAGCACTTTGTGTCAGCAAAGTCAAAGATAAACTTGAGAAACTCTGACACAAAAACATGAGTGACATGGTAGGCATGGAAGGTAGAACAGGGAAGCCCTCTGCATTGGCAGGCAGTCTCACAAAGGCGTGCACCTGAGCTCCCAAGCTCATATGCTGCAGGGGCATGATGGGGTGTGATGGGGCCTGAATGGGTCTGTGATGGGGACCATGATGGGACATGATGGGGACCATTATGGGAGTGTGATGGGGTGTGATGGGGGCCATGATGAGACTGTGATGGGGGTTGTGATGGGGCCGTGATGGGGATAGGGCTATGATGGGGCCCTGATGGGGGCTGTGATGGGGCCATGATGGGGGTGTGATAGGGCCATGAAGGGACTCTGATCAGGGCTGTGAAGTGGGCATGATGGAAGCTATGATGGCTCCATGATGGTGGCATGATGGGGGTTGTGACATGGGCAAGATGGGGCTATGATGGGCCCATGAGGGGGGCATGATGGGGACCATGATGGAGTCATGATGGGGGCTGTGATGAGGGCTGTGATGGGTCCCTGATGGGGCTATGATGGGGCCTAATGGGAGCATGATGGAGGCCACGAAGGGGCCATGAGGGGGGCTGTGAAAGGGCCGTGATGGAGGTGTGATGGTGATGGTGATGGGGCCATGATGGGTCCGTGATGAAGACGTGATGGTGGCCGTGACTGGGGTGTGATGAGGCCATGATGGGAGCCACAGCAGGGGTGTGATGGGGGCTGGGATGGGATGTGATGGGATCATGATGACAGAATGATAGGGACGTGATGAGGCCATAATGAGGACTGTGATGGGGGTGTGATATGGGTTTGATGGGAGCATAGTTTGGGCGATGGTGGTGTGATGGGGGTTGTGATGGGGCAGTGATAAGGCTATCATGGGAGCTGTGATGGGGGCTGTAATGTGGACTATGATGGGGGCTGTGATGGGGGCATGATAGGGCTATGATGGGGCCCTGATGGGGGTGTGATGAAAGCTATGATGGGGCTGTGATGGTGGTGTGATGGGCGTTGTGACAGAGGCCATGATGGGATTCGTGATGAGATCGTGATGAGGGCCATGTTGGGGCCAAGACTGGGGTGTTCTGGGGGTATGATGAGGGCTTGATATGGGCATGATGGGGGCTATGATGGAGGCATGATGGTGTACTTGATGGCATACATGATTGGGCCATGATAGGTGATGTGATGGGGCCATGATAAGGGCCATGTTGGGGCTATGGGGTTCATAATTGGGGCCATGATGAGGGCTGTGATGACACCATAATGGGAGCTTGATGAGGGCCATGTTGAGGATGTGATTGGGGTGTGATGGGGGAATAATGAGGGCATGAAGTGGGCATGAGGGGGTTGTAATGGGGGCTGTGATGCAGGCGTGATGAGGCCGTGATGGGGGATGTGATGGGGCCCTCATGGGGGACATGATGGAGATGTGATGGAGGCCATGATGGGGGCATGATGGGGGCTGTTATGGTGGCATGATTGGGTCCATGATGAGACTGTGATGAGGGCCACAATGGGGGCTGTGATAGGGGTGTGATGGGGGCATGTTGTGGACTGTGATGAGGGCCGTGATGGGGGCTGTAATGGGGACGTGATGGGGGCATGATGGGGACTGTGATGGGGGCCATGATGGGACTGCGATGGGGCTGTGATGGGACAGTGATGAGGGCTGTGATCAGGGCATGATGGGGTCATGATGGGACCGTGATGGGGCATAATGGGAGCATGATGGGGGCTGTGACGGGATGGTGATGAGGGCTGTGATGGGGAGTGATGGGGCCATGATGGGAACATGATGAGGGCTGTGGTTGGGGCATGATGGGACCATGATGGGGGTATGATGGGGGAGTGATGGGGGTATGATGGGGCATGATGGGGCCATAAGGGGGGCATGACGGGACTGTGATGAGGGCTGTGACAGGTCCACGATTAAGGTGTTATAGGAGCATGATGGGTCCATGATGGTGTGTGATGGGGGCCATGATGAAGGAAGTTGGGCCTGAGAGTGACCGTGGCCAGAGGAACATTGCATATTGGGTCTGTGACCACTCAGAGATGGGTGTTCAGTAAGTCCTGCATGTGACTTCTCAGTGACCCAAGTCCATAAGCTGCTCTGAGTGCTTTCTGTCCCTTGCAACCAAGGGGTCCTGACTAGACAGAGCTAGGCATACAGAGGCTGGGCTGGAATGGGGGCCTGTGCCCCTCACAGCTCCACAATACTGTGATAACAAAAAGGCCAGGGCCTGCTTCAGGCAACAGTCTCAGAATAATATTTGGGGATCAAGATCTTCCATGCTTCCCTTAATGTTATTAGAGTTCCTCTGTGTAGCCACTAAGTGCCCCCCAGATGCCCAAAACCTATGAGTCCTAGGCAGAATCTGCCAGGCAAGTGTGTGGTGGGAGCCTCTGCCCACAGAGGCAGGACTGAGGGACCATCCCACCCATAAGTATCCTCCCCACTGCATTACCTCCACCAGCAATGGCCTCCTCCAGCACAGACGTGGCCAGCTGGTCTGTGACAGCCAGGTCCTGGGGGTCCCCCGACGTGCACACCCAGCGGAAAGGCCCAAATCCCAGGGAGAAGATGTCCCTACAATGGCAAACAACTTATCACATTGGGCACACCTGGCCAGAATCATCGTGACCCTAGGAGGGTGGCTGGCAGGTGCTCCAGAGCTCAGGGTGAAGGCTGAGTGCTAGCTGGGGTGGGGGGTACAGCATGTGAGCATCTATAGTGAGGCGGGGCTTCAGCCTCCAGACTTCTTGCCGAAGCCCCTTGCCCCTAAATTGGACAGGAAGCTTCAGAGCCATAGGAAGGAAACAAGAGGCCTAATTTAGCCCAGGGCAGACTGGCCAGTGGGCAGCTCTGCCCCTCCTCCTTCTCCTCCTGTTCTGTCCCCCCTCCAGGAGTCCTGAATCACCACACAGGCCCCTGCAGGTCACCCAGGCCAGGCCCAGCTGCTCCGAACCTGCCTTGGCCACCCCACCTTGGACACCTGCTCTGTCCTCCTACTGAGTCTGAGGCTGGGGACAGGAGCACCTACAGGACTGAGGAGGAGTGGGTGCACACGCTTGTCAGTGTACTGTCTATTTGGGACGTTCTTGCACATTTTACATTCGAAAGAAAGACTGCGTCATATATTTGCCTCCTCCTTGTCCTTCCACTCCCCCTCAGTCCCCCCTCAGTCCTCCTCGTCCCCCTTAGTCCCTCTCTCTCTGCCCCTCAGTCCCTCTCAGTCCCCCTCAGCCCCCTCTCTCACCATCTCTAGCTGCAGCCACAGGGAGCTAGGACACAGACAAGCAGAAATTTCCTTAAATTGCTGTTATAAAGACAACCTGAAAATCTGTCAACTAAACATAAATATCTGGGAGAAACAAGTAAATGCAGGATCTCGGCCTTCAAGAAATTTGCTTTAGGTGAACTGACTTTCCTAGGTGACCAACCTTGATGTCCATGTATGGCCTCTGTGACCTCAGTCACCACCCTCCTCAGCACCAGTCAATGCCTCCTCTCGTGGGCTACCCATGGGTCTTCCTCCTCAGAGGGACCCCAGCTGCCCCCAGTCCGCAGCCTGGTGGCCCATCTCACCCCTGGACCTGCTTCCAGCCCACAATGAACTCCAGAATGTAGAGGTTGGTCTTTCTCACCTCCATCCTTCTCCATCCCCTCTCTCTGCATACCAAAGACTGGTGACTCTTCCACAACATCGTGACACCTCCCTCCCTGTCCACCACCCTCACTGGCTTGAAGTCTTCAGCAGCTCCCCTAGCCTACAGGAGAAGGTCCAAACCCCTTCTCTTGTCTTTCAAAGCCTCCACCCTTGGCTCCAAGTCACCCTTCCTGGTTACCTCCCCTCCTCCCTGCTTGTCCTGGGCATGGCCCCAACGCTCCCCACACACCCTGGTGTGTGCTTCAGAGGGCGCATGGGCTGCTGGCCCTCATGCACCAGACCATCACTTCCCCACTGGTGCCCCTGACCCAAGACCCCAGGGGTAGGCACCTCCTCAAGGCCCCATTTAGGACTGGGATGTGCACCTCAGGAGTGATCTTGTTGCTGACTCCCGTGGCCTTGTCCTGGATGCCCTGAGAAAGTCCCTCACATGTTTCAACCCCTTTCCCCCTGCATTTTATGGTGGAAATCCCCTTGACTCTCTGGAGCCCCATGCAGGTCTCAGGGCATGCCCTTGGTCATGATCAAAGGATTAGCCTTCCCAATCTAATGTCCAGAGAGCAGGCCTGGATGGTGTGGGGTGGCACTGGGCACCCTAGACCTGGCAGCCGCCCTTCACTTACCCCATAATGTGCTGGACATACGAGGGGTAGCGAGATTCTGTCTTATTGACCCCTTTCTTCTCCACATCAGCTCCTGCGGACAGAGCACCCCGAGCAGACTCACCTGGGCTCCATAGATGGCAGGCCTGGGGGGCATTGGGGAGGGCACAGGACTGTGCACTGTGAGGACACACATGGTCATCACCACAACCCCACAGGAGCCACACATGAGAAACAGCTTCAATATCCACCAGAGGGCACAGGGGGCTGAGGAAGCTCTTCTGGTCTCGATAGGGAGGACCCCGCAGTCTTCTTCAAGTACAAGAAAAGAAGAAAGCCAGGTGCAGAACCGTGTGCAGTATGCTGCCATTTGTGCGTGACGGTGGGGGATCAGCGGTACACGCTTTCCCAAAGTTGCGAACCCATCTCACAGTGGATGCTTGGGAGCCCTCCCAGAGGGAGTGGGGTGCAGAAGACAGGCTAGAAGGGAGACTTCTCCCTGTGCCTTTTGAATGCTATACTCTGTGAACCAACTGTCTGTTTTACAGAAAGAAATCACTGTCATAAAAAAAAATTTTGCACACTGTAGCTTGGCCTGAGACTCAAACCTGCTCTCTTTAGCGTATTTATGTTGTTAAGGTAAACGAAGAAACTGAGGCCCAGAGAGTCCAAGCCATCTGTCAGGACCAGCTTCCAGAAGACCTGGGTAGAGGTGCGTGAAGCCAGCAAGCTTGTCACCCTGGCCCTGGGCACTGACAGGGCCTCCCTGGCTGAGAGGGAGGTGGCCCAAAGCTGGTGTCTCTGTGCCCCCGGCTCCCTGCTCTCACCTGCTCGCTGGGCCTCCAAGAGGAAGGCGTTGCCGTAGTCCCAAAAGAAGAAGTTCTCCTGAGCCAGCCTGTTGATGGCTGAGACCTGCCTCCTCAGGCTGCAAGGAGAAACCCTATCAACTCAAATGCCCCTGTGCCCTCCTGCCCCCTCCTTGGGCCTGCTCCTCCAAGCTCACTTCTGCCTCCATGCCATCCCCTTAAATCCTCGATGCCCTTCCAGACGAGCTGGCAGCCCCCTGAGCACACATTTACTGACAAATGCCCCTCCTTAAAGCTTTCTCAAGCTAGTGACTCCCAACTCCACCAGCGTTTGCTGAGCACCAACTGTGTCAGAAGGTACACCGGGTGTTTACAAATACCGTTTCACTTTGCCCCCAACTTTCCCACGAGGCCTATATTTTCATGACTCCCGTCTGACAGATGAGCAGACAGAGGCTCAGAGAGGTTAAGGGTTTTGCCCAAGACCACACAGCTAGTGACTGGAGAACCAGGCTCACACCACAGCATGACAAGGAGGGCTGCCCCATCCCACAGCATGTGCACGCACACACACACACACCTCTCCTGCACCAGGCCCTTGAATGCTTCGGGGTTGGAGGCCAGGAGGTTCTGGGCCTCCAAGAAGCCAAGCTGCACAGGGTAGTAGCCACCATTGAAGGGGTTGTGACAGGATGTCTGATCTGACCCGAGGTCCACAAGGAGCTCCCCTGTTGTATCCAGCTCATGTACCAGGCGCTCCCTGGGGAAGACATGGGTGGCTAGCACAGGGCAGGGGACAGTCTGGGCCCCAGGTAAGGGGTTGGTGAGGAAGAGGCTGCAGCACATTTGCCGGCTTGCAGTCAGTACACAGGGATGGAGTCTAATCGGGCTTTCCCCCAGAAAGAGCGCTGGCAAGAAGGCAGCTGGGGCCGGCAGAGAGGGCAGTAATCAGCTCCAGCAAGAAGCCTTGGCTCTGAGACGCAGGAGCGCCTGGCCAGCATCAGGACCTATGCTGGAGAGGGTCACCTGGGGTCCCTCAGGCTGCCACTCCCACTCCTCACCCCCACTCACCAAAGATGCACCACGTTGCCATGGTAGCCAAGGCTGAGCACCTCCTTCTTTTTCCTTGCTTCCCTAAAAGGGCACAAAGTCAGACCAAGATGGCCCCGTCACACCTGTCCACAACTGCCCTGTGACAACCCTCCACTCTCACCAACACAGGTTGAGCACAAAGTGACAAAAATATGAAAGGCCCAATCCCAAAACAAAAACCAAACCCACTGCCGTTGAGTAGATTCCGACTCAAAGCAACCCCACAAGACAGAGTAGAACTGCCCCATAGGGTTTCCAAGGCTATAAATCTTTATGGAAGCAGACAGCCACATCTTTCTTCCACGGAGCGGCTGGTGGGCTCGAACAGCAGACCTGTCACTTAGTGTTCGAGCACTTTAACCACTGCACCACCATCATTCCTTGAAAGGCCCAAGTGACCCCCAAAATTCTTGTGTGTGAGTATAGGGCCTGTGTCAAAAGACATAACATGTAGGGGGAGCATGGTGACAGATGGGAGCATGGACATGACAGTGATGATAATTATTCCCAAGGCGATTTATGGAATTAGGGTTATTGCTATTAGACCTCTAGTGGGGATCTCTCTAGAACTCACTAAAAGTAATCCTGAAAAATCAGAGAATTCACTAAAGATGATTTTAAAAATTATTTGAAAAAATAAAGGACAATAAAAATCAAAGCATATTTTGGAGGAAAGAAGATTTGAATAAATAACAGCCCTTACAGGTATTAGAAGGTATCACAAAGCAACAATAAGTAGAACAGTGTGGCACCAGCTAAGAAATGGAGGTTTTGCCATCCAAGAACGCCATGGCTGGTGACCAATGTGCTCCTCTCTCCCCAGTGCTCAAAGATAATAAAGCAGGAAAACAAACAAACAACAACACGTAATCACAAAGCAGTGAGGGAGGCCAGTCTGAAACCTGAAGTGTCTGGGGGAAGGAGAATTGAATTCCAACTGCAGCACCAGGGAAGGACCTGCAAGCCCCTGGGAGGCTCATTCCATTCTCAGTTGTGTCTTCCCCGGCTCAAGGATCAGAAACTTGACAAGAGAGGTTGCTTAAGGCAGTTGCTTAAATCGATTTGAACTGATTTTGTTCTGTGTATGTACATGTGCATGTATGTGCATATTTGCATGCATGCATGCATGTGTGTATGGTGTGCCCACGTGTGTGCGCGTGCATGCATGTGTGTGCATACGTGTGTGTGAGCACGCATGTTTGTGCATGCATGTGTGTGTATGTGTGTGTGAGCAGGAATTAACATGGCCCAAACTTTACGTGGGTGACAGAAGGAGGCAGATAGAAGGGGATATTTAGAGATGACAAAAATATCCGAAAGGTTGAGAAGTTAGAGGGTTGACATGTTGCGGGGTTGTTAACCAATGTCATAAAACAACATGTGTACTACTGTTTCATGAGAAACTATTTGTTCTGTAAGCCTTCACCTGAAGTACAATAAACAATAAAATAAAAAAAAATATCCAAATGGTTGGAAATGGGTGCATGTGTGTGTGGGGCGGGTGCAGTCAGGATGCTAAACTGCCTGAACGAAAACAGCAGCCCCATCAGGAAAGGCCCTCAATGCCACACAAGGAGTCTGGAATTTCTCCTACAGTTAATGGAGCATTATCTGAGAGTGTTAAATGAGTTTTGGTGCGATGCGGTCAAACTGATATTTTAAAAATTCTATGTCAAAATAGTATCCAACCTGGGTACTGGGGATACTTGGGAGTTCATCGCATTATTTTCTCAACTGTTGTGTATATTTGAAAATGTGCGTATAAACCAGGTTTAAGGTCCCTCGGTGAGTCTAATGTAGCCAGGGTTGGGAATCATGGCACTAACGCGTCTTCCTCAGACAGGACTCTGCTCTTCAAAATAAAGTGATTGAGAGAACGCTTCAAAAATGGCAGCGGATCAGCAGCACCCAGAGCCATTTTCCCAAGTTTCCACTAAAATGCCTGGAAAGGCATTAAACAGGAGAGGACATGCTACCCTTGAAGCTGCACAGACAACCTAAGACCCTAACTGGAGAGAAGGGTCAGCTTGGCTAAGCCTGGCAGGGGCACATTGAGCAGAAACGCCGTGCTGAGCACCTCCTCTGTACCAGGCTTGGGCTGGGTGCTGAGCCCACAGCAGTGAGGAAAAGAGGGCACACTCTTTGCAAAAGTTGGGGCTGGCTCTCAGGAACACCAAGAGAACTGAGAACCTATTAGAGCCAGTGTCTGACCCCCAAATGCACAAAATTCAGTGGCTTTCTGCACACCAGCAATAATAACCAGCAAGGAATGAGATTCTTAAAAGACCCTTCCTGTGATATTTCTACTGCAGACCTCTGAGTCACTTGGCTTGGGGCCTGCTGCTAGGTGCCAGGCATTACACAGGCCCCCTCAGAGCAGCCCGGCATCCAGCGCTCCTCCCGGATGGACACGCTTGGGTGTCTGGGCTCTGGGTCGAGCCTGGAGCTGTACCTGAGCCTCTGGATGCAGTGGTCCAGGCTGTCAGTCACCTCCATCAGCCAGCCTTGTTTGTGGCGCTTCTCAAGGGCTGCTTTATCCACCTGGGACCGCAACACACAGGGTGGTTACACACCCCATGGGGGGGTCTCCCTTTCACCTAAGAAGGTGCCATCCCCCACATCCATTGCCTGACTTTCATAGTACAGTGTCAGGGCACACAATGAGCTACCTTCACAGTTTTTATTCCCTCTCCTGCCTTCCTTATCTACAGAACCAAGATTTTGTCAGGGGACACTGTGTTAAGTCCCAGGAGATAAATCACGTGGAAAAAAATCACAACAACCCTGCCCACTGCTTTCAGCTGCCCTTGCAGATAAGACTCATAGCGACCCTATAGGACAGAGTAGAACTGCCCCATGAGGTTTCCAAGGAGCAGCTGGTGGATTCGAACTGTCAACCTTTTGGTTAGCAGCCAAACACTTAACCACTGTGCCACTATAGGGTTGCCATGAGTCGGAATCGACTTGATAGCAATGGGTTTGGTTCGGTTTTTGCAGATAAGAACATCCATTTGATCCAGTACTGACCAAGAAGGTGTTGACTGAAGGAGTTTCTGAGGCAGTTTCTTCCTCATATAGAGCCAGTCATAGCTGTCACTTTCCCTCTTCCTTCTTCCTGCCTTGAATGTGGATGGGATGGCTGAGGCTGGAGCAGCCATTTTGTATACATGAGGAAAGCCCAAGAATCTCTAGAGATGTTGGCCCTGACACTGCTGGTTGTGTAAGAAAAGTAACACCCTGTTTGTGTAAGCCACTGGAATTAGGTGTTCTGTCACCTGCAGCCAACTGCACTTCTAACAGATACAGGTAAGTATGGCAGGCTTAGTGTAACTAACTACACATCACCCTGGTGTGCATCACTGTGGCTGGTCTCAAAGTTCTCACCTCCTCTGTCTCCTGCTTCCCTTCTTGTCTTTGGGGAAAGCTCCCTGCCTCTGTTGAAGGGACATGTCTGCCTCCTCAACTTGACTGTGAGCCCTTTGAGCTGAAGTGGCGGGGAGGTCCACAAGCATTTATTGTCTCCCTTCCATGCACAGTGCTAGGTTTGGGGATAAGGTAGGATACAGGGAAGTGTTCCAGCCCACGGAAGGTCACAGTTTGGTGGGAGACCAGCCAATGCGCATAGATAATCCCATGTGATGGATATTTTGAAGGCAAGAAGCTATGCTGCCAGGGGAACCGAGACAATGAGCTCAGGGAGGCTTTGTGGAGGAGGGGAGTGAGGGCCAGGAGAGAAGACAGGAGGGTGTGAGGGGAGGGGTGGAGAGGGGAGGGGTGGAGAGGAGATGGGTGGGTGTGAGGGGAGGGGTGGAGAGGAGACGGGTGGGCATGAGGGGAGGGGTAGAGAGGGGATGGGTGGGTGTGAGGGTGAGAGGGGAGAGAAGAGGGGC